GGCTGGGCAGGGGCAGTGTAGGGCTGCCCCTGCCATGACTAAGTCTTTCAGCAGGGGGTTCCCCCTCACAGGTGGTGCCTGGGGCAGGTGGCCTTCTTGCCTCTCCCTAGTTATGCAACTGAAGATCATGCCTGTGACTATAAGAAAGTTTTCACTGTCACAGTGACCAAAAGGTGCTTGGCTTGGCTATAGATATCTGGGCTTTCTTTTGACTGATCACATGAAAAAATACCTCTGCCTGTCCTGAGCTATTGTGTCCCTTAAAAAGACATAGTATGTAACCTTCAGTACTAGTCTCCAATGGCATTGCTACTCAGAGACCCTAGACATTCATTGTTTTTCTAGAACTAAAAAGTTTATACAAAGCAACACAAACAATAGATTGCTATGGCATTTGTACACGTGCACAGCCCCATGCCTGGATTATGACAGACAAAGGCATGTTTTCCAGCCAGGGAGTAAGAGGGGGCTGCTCCTGAACTCCTCCAGCCTCCCTGAGAGCCTGTCAGTGAACAGGACAGGCTGTCTGACAGGTCTGCTTGATAAGCTGCTGCCATTGTGACAAGAGCTCATGGGGCTGCCCTCAAACTATCTCCAGGGACATGGACTGATCAAATGGTCTCCACAACCTGATTAGCCCTTGCCATGGCCAACAAGAAGTGGCACCGGCACAGTTTTAAGTTGCTGGTGCTTCAATGGGCTGCTGGGGGTCAAGCTGTCATGGCTGCAATGGTGACAGGACTGTATGAAAGCAGCCCAGGGTAGCAGGGGTTGATTGGGTGGCCTCCAAGTAGAAACCACCTGATCAGCCCCTGCCACCACCACCTGCAGACAGCTCCATCATGACTGCAGTTGGAAGGGAACAATGACACGGCTGCATGCAAACAGCCTGGGCAGCAAGGCAAATAGGGCAGTCTCCACTGCCCAGTCAGGCCCTGCCACCACTCTAGCATACTCACCATTGCCACTCAGTGGCAATGATGAAGGGGCTGCTGTCAAGCTGACCTCTTCAGAACTCTTTGACAGCTTCCTAACTTGGCACAGTATGAGGGAGACAACTACTCTCCCTCCCTCCCTCCCTCCCCCTTGGAAGTGAGGAGGGAGAGAGGAGTACTGCGGCATACCTGGGTCAGAAAGCCCTGTATACAGGTTAAATTTATTGCAGAAATCTTCCTGCAACAAAGTTGCTCTTTGAAATAGCATTTTTTTTTGTGCCATGGATTCATCATTTTGGGGCTTGATCAGCCATTCTTTAACATAATAGAGCCTGAATGTGTAGACACTGGCTTTTTGCTGTGCTAAAATAGCAGATAAAGTGCAACAAATGTGTGTGTCAGAGGCCAGAGACATTCTTCTGGCATACATTTCTTCCCATTATCTCCTTTCTTGGTGTGGTAATTTACTGCTGGCTATGAGCTTGCTTATAACCTACACAAAGCCCAATTATAAGTGATTGACTACTTCCTGATCTCACACACCCAGTCTTTTTTACATATGTATAGGGAAGTTCCTGCTCCCCTACATGAATGTACTGTTCAGGTCATCAAGGCTATTATAACATTTATGCCATAAAATATGAAATTGTAAAAGTGTGTTCCCATAGCTATTTGTTCTGCTCTTTCAATAGTTTCCAGATCAACTGTACTGTTCACAAGTAAAGAATGTTGTTTTCTTAACTGCTAACTCTAAAAATATAATCTAGATCTGAAAGGCAAGCTGTTTTTTTTCCATTCTGCATCTCCTACAGTCACCAGCACTTAAATATTTATGCTATCAGAGCTTAGCTAAGAAAGTTGGTAGTTGTACAAGGCGATACAGAATCTAGCTGTACTGGGTCACAAGAGTACCACTGTCAATAATTTAAGCAGGTATCACAAGAAG